AGAGTGTGAAATATTATCAGGACATCTCTTCAAGGCTGTCTACTGCTGAGGTACAAAAAAAATATTCTAATGCGTCCTGGATCTGCTTAACTCTTCTTCACAGGGAAAATGTAAGAGATGAGTTTTACCTTTTGTGTGAGGGAAATAAGCCTTGATGTTCTTGTTAAGCCATCTCCAATAATTGTGAAAGGTGATAAAGAGATGTAAAGGCAGGAAATTGGTTGTGGAGTGGGGGGGGGGGGGGGGGGCAGAAGAGAAAATGTTTTTGCAATAGAAGAAAGGTGTTTTATGTGTTTGCTACAAAAGCAGAGATTTAGTTACAGGGAAAATGTCTGCCATTAAAATCCCTTTCATCATTTTGTGAAAATAAACTATAAATCCTCATGTAATGTTAGAGAAGTTGGAGGTGAAACAAAACACTCTGAAACTTCAGTAAAATAGCTGTAAATGCATTTTCTTTCCAACATAATATGTCATACTATTTGTAAACCAAAGCTGTAGAAATGTCACCAAATGCATTATTATACACATGGATGTGTGCAGATATTAATGGGGTGGACGACCTGGGTTACTGATTTATGCAGGGGTGGCATGAAACTTAGTTGGCAGACAAAAAGCTAATTATTTTCTCTACCCTGTTTATCCCCACTAATAAAATGAAAGAAACACAATTTGTTAACATGTAAATCTCCTTAGCTTCATTCTTTAGGGTCTCCAAAACAAAGATGTATGTAGAAAGTGACGTGCAAACACTTATGCTGTCTAACTAAAAAATACATTTATTGGAAGTTATTTAAGTCAGACTGTGTGCACAAGTTTCTCCTTGGGCATTTTTACAAATGAGCAAGTGCCATTAGCCTTGAAAACAGCCATAATAGTTGATTTGTACAAAAATCCCACCTCTGATTATGCAAATATGAAATCATAGATTTGGATTTTGGAGTGGCACCTGGGGTGGCCAATAAGATTTCAAGGGGGACCCATGCCACCCCAGAACACCCCTCTGGACATGCACTTGATGATACCAAAAGCAAAACAAGAAACGTCCAAAGGGAGAGTGTAATATTCGTTCTCCACATCTGTGGAATCAATCATTCTCTGAATGAGCAGTGGGAGGCCCCTAACATTATCATAGATCATTGACATGAATGGTCTCTTAAATGTAATTCTCAGGAGAACAGAGAAGTCCAGGGTGATGTCAGGTTTCCTCCCATAGTCCTACTTTGTCTCTGCCAACTCTAAACCTCATGAGGTGGCCAGGTAAAACAAGAGAGAAACCAAATTAGTAAGAGAACAGAGATTGAAAGAACACGCGGGTGAATGTGTGCACCAGACAGAATGAGAGAATGGAAAACAGTTCAGCATGTAAGTTGCTCAGTTAATGATAATGAGTTTTTCACATGGAATATGTTCCTTAACAAAGTGCTTCGAGCACAGTCACAGAAATTCTGATAAATTACCTTTGCCTGTACATTTATATCTTCTTGTGCTAAATGTGAATGGGGCTATGTTCAGCTAACCAAACAAACTATTTTTGCCTTTCTGCTGAGGCTGCGACTTTGCAAGTCAAAGTTCACCAAAGTTGAACTCATGGAAAGATGCAAATTTTGCTCTGCTGCCAGAATTAAATGTTTCATTTGTTCCCTTGCTTGTAATGAATGGAAGTGAATGAAAGTCATAAAATCCCAAATGTTACTTTAGCACATGTGACCTTTCCTAAAGCCAGACTGTTGTCCCTGACTGATAAAGAAGACCAGGAAAGTTTAGGTTTTCTGTTAACATTGACAGGTCTCAGTTATTTCTTCAGAGATAACCCTCAAACGTTGGCTGAGTCTGAGAAAATAGCCAATACCCCAGGTGTCCTCAGACGGCTTTCTAAGCTTTAAGATTTCCTTAGTTGGAATTTAGGGAAATGGATTTATGCCCGCCTGTGAAAGCAACAATCAATGTTTAAATGGATTTGCTCTAAGTTGTCTTGTTACAACTTGTGGGACCCGGTCTGCAGGCTTTCCCTCAGTGATGTTTGGAAAGTTCTGTAATTACTTCTTATTTTCATTCTACTCAGAATTATTCATCATGTAAACAAAAGAAAAATCCAGTAACTGCAGTGCACCCAAATGCAGCACACAGGAAACTCAAGATCAATGACAATAACCTTTACTGATACATTTGGCAGGTACAAGTTCAACAGGCAGGTAAACAGAGTTCAGGATTAAATCTGCAAGAGCTTACTGAGGAAAAAGGCAGAAGGCTAGTCAGGAAGCCAGCAGGTAGAATCCAGAGATCTACACGGGGAAAACAGGAAAAAGTGGAGCTGAGGAGCTGGGAAAAGCCAGACAGGAACCAGGAGGGCAGAGACAGAACTCCTCGTCTGGGACAGAAGGCTGAGGATATTTCCAGGATACAACAAAGCTGGCTGGTCAGGGACAAACAGGTGAGTTGATTTGGCTGATGAGGTGGGTGTGGCTGGCAGACAGACAGAGTGGAATACTGAATGAAGAAAACTGTAACAACAGAGGGGAAATGAAGTTCCATATATGGTGGGAAACATTTTTAGATAGCTCCAACACACCCTTTTCATAGGGTTTTAAGTAGCATTCAAAGAAGAGAATGTGAATTATAATGTAGAGTTGGTGATGCTCATTCGCCATTCATGGACCATTGCAGAACCAAATAACACAATAACTAGATCACTTTAAAGGAGGATTTTCAAACTTTAGTTATTATTTTTTTACATACTTTATTAATCCCTGAGGGGAAATTCTGGTTTTACACTCTGTTATTTAGAGACATGCTTCTCACACATACAAGTCTGAATTACACACATTCACAATCAGGACCTGTGGACATACATTAATGGAAAGATGTAAAAGTGGGTGTGTGCCAGAGCTGTATGGGGTCCCTAACCTTGCTCAATGGCACATTGGCAGTACGCAGGAAGTGATCTTGCATCTCTCCAGCAACCAGACAAACTTCAATGCTTTGCCCCGCACCGGGGCTTGAACCAGCAACCCTCTGGTTCCCAAGGTCCCTACAGCCTAAGCTACTGCCAGCCCAAATTGAAATGTAAATTTACATTCACAATTTGTAATGATGTCGGTTTCATAGTTTTGCTTGAGGAAGGTCACAGTCTTATGTTAGTCTGTAGTTTGAAAGTGATACTGTGGACTGCATTTCAAATGTGATGCCAAATGACACATGCAACATCATTTCAAATTCACTCATCCTTTAAACAAGCTCCATCTGGCTTCGTTGTGAATGTCCTTCTCTGAATGACTTCTATTAGTCCTTGATGCAACTTAAACTGATTATCAGAAACAAAATGGCACAAGTGTTTAGCTGGAGGCGGATTGTCTGTTTAAATTTATTTTTTTACCATTAATAGAGAAGGCTCTGATTTAAATATGAATCGTATATTTACTGTCAAAAATAAGTTGCACAGCTATACAATGCATCATCTGCAAGAATTTAAAACAACCAATAGTCACAAGTTATCTGTTCACTTTAAGTAGAACAACAGGTGCTTAGTTTTTTATTTAGTTGGTGGTGTAACACTGACAAAATGAACACATATTGGAACTGTACTGACTGTGCCTTTCTAGTTGAGCTGCAATTTATTTCCATTTAAGCTTTAAGTTTTGATACATTTTCATGGGGATGAGTTCCTCTTCTGCAAAGCAATAAAGTGAAACATCTTTCTTTCAAACCTCGTGTTGTGAACATTTATGTCTAAATCTGCTGTCATCACTCATACAACAAGACACTACCTTTAAAGTGCTTATAATTAAGTAAAGTTTGTCAAGTTTTTTTTTCATCATCTCAAAGCTGATATTGAAGGTGGAGGGTCCAGTTTGCTGAAGCCTGGAGAGACTGTGATAACTGTCCAGTATTATACAAGCTGACTCTCTGTGTGAATCCCACCTTCAGTTCCATTTCAAACCTTTGGACTATCGACTGCAACAGACCTGTTTTGATAACCTGCCTCTCAAATTTCCACCCCCGCACTGGCCCCAATTCAGTCTTGTGTCCTTTTTCGAAGCCTGAGACCCTGCCCTTTGAACCCCACCTCCACCATCCTAGAGAGAGAAGATATATGCTAAAGATGTGTATGAGCAGAAATGTATGCTCTCCTCTGAGGGCCTCCAGCGCCTGGCTCTGGCTCACGGAGCCCGTCCCTCGGGATAGCAAGTCCGCTGCTGACATAAAGCCCAAGGGCAAGAACAAGATGTGTTGGCTGTTGCTTTTAATGGATCCCCAGCTCAGGAGTGGTTCTGGCGGCCAGGAAACGGTACAGTTCAAAGGCCAACGCTGTGTTTAGGGCTGATGTTTTGTTGCTGCTTAACCTCTTAATGCCTTTGCAGAGGCCTACTGGCAAATTTTCTCAGGATTTTGCAAAACCGGGCCATCGGCTGAGCAATTCCAACAGTGAGAGACATTTAATAATTTCTTCTCCACCCTTCCTGGCTTGGCCAGTTTCAAAAAAGGCTCACATATGACCACCCAAAGTCCAGCTGGGGGGGAAGTGTTGTTCTTGTGGCTGGGTGCGGGGGTTGAGGTGCTGTTGAAAGTGTATTGATCTCCTGGGCTGAGCTTTTGACCCTCGGGTTGAGCTCCAAACAAACAATGGTGGCTTTTTTATATTCTTAGAATTTCAGCAGCAATGAATGAGTGTGTGTGTGTGTGTGTGTGTGTGTGTGTGTGTGTGTGTGTGTGTGTGTGTGTGTGTGTGTGTGTGTGTGTGTGTGTGTGTGTGTGTGTGTGTGTGTGTGTGTGTGTGTGTGTGTGTGTGTGTGCGTTGTAGTGGACAGTGAGGACAGGGAACACTCATTCCCCCTTTGATACACATGCTGGGCAACATGGAATTTGAACACTTGTGCAACTGATGCATACTTCATTTTTGCAGTTCGGGTTAGTTTCACATGTGCACACAAACTCATGACATTAAAACAGTAAAAATCAACAATTTATGTCTTCAGCACATACAAATACAGTATTTCCTTTTAGTTCCTCATGCTAAGACTTAACTCGGAAAAACTGCTTGGAATATTTTACAACGTCACCTGAAATTGAGCACTTTTATCCCTCTTGGTCACTTTGATTCTTTTTAACTGCCCAATACCTCCCTGTAACTGTTTGATTTTATTTTTATTGTTGACTAATCATTTTAGTAATTTGAAGCCTTTTAAATCATTTTTAATTTCATAATATATATTTTATTGTTGTTATTGCTCTTTTATTGATTTGTATTTCCTGTGGTAGCTTAACTCATTTGTTTGTCATTTATATATGTATTCACTGCATCATAGTTAATGAGGGTGACCCTCAATTATCAATGGTTGATGATTTACATGGCTGGGTCTATCTCATGGGAAGAACCAAACTCTTACCCAGATACAGTATCTGCTTTATTATTCATATCTCACAGAAAATGTAATGGAAAAAAGCCAAGTCTAACTATTATATCCTATCTGGGACATAAAAAACAATGAAACAGTTTACATTCAAAGCCACCAGTGACACAGTGACAGACTGCCAAATGTCAAAGTGCTCATTAAATACTATGAGATTAATCTCACCATGTCAATACAGCGTCTAATTAAACAGCAGCTCATATGGGATTCTCAGCAGTAAACACAATGTTGTTAAAAGAGTCTGTCATTTGAGAGAGCTGCTGCGATGCTGCGATGCCACCCTGTGGATGATAACATCAACTGAAATCAAAAAGACTATTTCTGCTAAATACATCAAATAAACAGAGCATTTTAGAACAAACACCCCACAAAACATGTCTAATCATTTGTGAACTTTAAGACCAAAGTAGCTGAAAAAGTGTGTTATAAATGGTTTAACAGGATTATGTGTTTGTCTGAAACTAACAACCAGATGACAAATAATTTCTGCTGCCAGTACGAAACAAAAAATCATTAAGGTGCCTTGAGGGAAATTAAGTGACACAGATAAAGATTCCACCCGAAGTGTCTCTGCTTGGCACACTAATGGGAACCGGGAGAATCAGCACGTCTTAATAAGGACGATGCACTGCTATGGGATCAGAGGTTGATTTGGGGCAGGATGAAGCAGCAGTAGAGCAGGATCCACAGGACCAAGAGCATTTCCAGCTCTAATGGGGTTGTGCCACATGAGGCCGCTAGAGATCGAAGAGTAGATCCTGCACCTCTGTTGGATAGTAGAGCAAACATGAAAGTGTTAGAACCAGAGAAAGGCGCTTTAAATTCACATTTATAAAGAGGAACTATATGGTCCAATTACATTTTTCTAAGGGTATATTTCTGTACAGTTGTTGTAAATGATAAGACCATTCATCCGTCAGCACTTATAAAATCGTTGTTTAAGATTAAGCAATGTGTAAGGGGTAAATGGTTTCAGAAATGGATTCAAGGGGCGCTGGTGGCGCAGTTGTTAGTGCGGGCACCCCATGTATGGAGGCTGTAGTCCTTCAAGCGGGCAGCCCGGGTTTGAATCCGGCCTGTGGCTCCTTTCCCGCATGTCATTCCCCACTCTCTCTCTCTCTCTCCCTGATTTCCGGCTCTATCCACTGTCATATCTCTCAAATAAAGGCACAAAAAGCCCCCCCCCCCAAAAAAAAAGAAAAAGAAAAAGAAAGAAAGAAATTGATTCAACTGTGTATTCATCTTCTTTCAAGTCTAATCTAATAATCTTGTAAATGAGGCAAGGGGCATGTCATGGGGAAGTCTGTATATGTTAAAGCCATTTTTGTATACAATTGCTGTGTTTTCAGTGTGTGTTCTTGGTTGTAATTTCTAGTTATCACAGTGGGTTAGGCGTTGCTTGTTGACAAGCAACGCCGATATCTTTCGGAAAACGTTTGGACAGTAACGTTCTGAAATCGTTTGGTGAAAACATTTTGAAAATGTTCTGAAAATGTTTGGCGATAAAGTTCTGAAAAGAAGTGGGATTATGTGTCATTCCCGTCTTTAGGAGAGAGGGCCCCCCCAATAGATTTTTGCCTGGGTCCCACCAGACTCTAGAATCGCCTCTGAGTGGGTAGCATACTCACAATGGCGTATGATGAATGTACAAGTACAGGAAGAGGTAATCAATGCCAGGTGAGCAGCCTACCATTGGAGGCACAGTTTTTTGACCAGTGTTGTTATTACCTACCTGAATGACTGAGAAGTTGCACTGTCAGCAGGAGTCCAACCTTTGTCATCATTATGGACCCCTCCATTAGTGTCATTTTGGGGGGGAGTTTTACCACGGTGGTCCATTATTGTTGCCTTCTTAACAGACAGTGTTCGTCTCTTGACCTGAAGTTCCATGTCTTTTTCTTCTTTGGTTAAAACTTCCTCAGCATCAATCAAATGTTTGACTTTATCCCTGTACTCTTTCTTGTTTTCATCTTGAGAAGTCAAATCTTCCACTGTCGGGGTCTCCTTGCTGCCATTGTCTTCTTCTGTGTTAATTCTAGTTGCAGCAGCTCCTTTGACTTCAGGCTGGTCAACTAATGTGTTTTCATTTACCTTGAAACCTTCTTCATTGAAAACAGTTGGTTGATTTCCCTTCTCTTGGTCCTTCACATTATTACCTTCCTTTTCCCTCCTCTCCTTTCTGTACTTCCTTTCTTCAAATATTGTATATTTTTCCTTGTCTTTTTCTTCCTTTCCAAATCTCTTTTCACCCACTTGTCCACATCTTTCATAAAGCCCTCTCTCAGTTGCCTTCTCAACCTCAGAAAGATTTGTTTCCTTTATTTCATCATTCAAAACCTCGGTTTAGTACACCATGTGTCATCAAATAAGCACTATCTGACTTCTCCTTCCTCCTGTCTTCCCCACAATATTCACCACGTCCATCACTTTGTCCAACAACTCTGTCCTCTTTCTTTCCCTTTCTGCATTTTCTATCTTTCTCTGACTGCATGGCTAACACTGATCCATTGTTTGCAATCTCTTTGGAACATCTGTCATTTTTGTCCCAATCACACTCCCTTTGAGCCTCTGACTTATCCAATTCAACGTTTTGTTTGAGAAGGACTTCTTGGTCTTTATATCCATTGGCTTTTGGATTCTCATGAACTTCCAGAGGTTTGGACTCTTCACTCAGCTGTCCGTTCAAGAACATTTCTTCTGCAGTTTCCTCTTCAACCCTTGGTACTTTCCTTGTTAGCTGATCATTTGGTTGGAAATCCTCTTCATTCAGCTCCAGGATGTAGCTGTAGGCTTCCTCCTCATCTGAGTCCAGTGCTGACAAGTTGTAGACTCCTTCCTCAGAGCTCAGAGAAAAGCGACTTTCACCTGCCTTTTGCTTGCTGTAGCCTTGACCTCCAGATGCTTCGTCCATCCATGATCGGATCTCCAGGCTGACGACGCCTGCATCCAGCGGACTGGGTGGCTTGAAAACACTTCGATATTTGCTTCTCTTTTTGGTGAATGCTGAGGTTTCAGGACTGCCTGCTGGTTGTTCAGTGGTGCTTTGGCTGTGACAGGTTGAAAAGATGTCACCACAACTGGAGGAGAGGTCAGGAGTCACTGCGCCATTTGTGTGAAGTAAGTGTCTTCTGGCCCATTGTTTCCATAGCTGCTGCTCGGTGCTCTTCTCAAAGCCTATAAGCAGAGCTTTGGCTTCTGGCTCATCGGCATTGATCTCTCCAAAAGTGACAGACTCAAGTGATCCAAAGTGTGGAATCGCAGGAACTTCAACATCTGAGGCATTGTTCTGTAACAAAGCGTTTATGACTTCTTAGTACATCACATCAATGCAAATAATGTAAGTATCTTTGAGGATATCCAGTGATTGTTAAATGTGAAAATATCTTTGGGGTTCAAAAAATGATTAGAAATCTGGGCAAATTATCTTATTAACAATTTTTTCAGATAAGTTTGATGCTGCTCTCATAGTGTTTCAAACAGCCAGCAGCTTGTTAGCCAAGCTTAGCATAAAGACTGGAAAACAGAAGGCAGCTTGTCTGGCTGTGTCCACAGGGAACAAAATCTGACCACAGTATGTCTAGAAATGACTTCAGCAATATTAAAATTTCTTTGCTTTATCGGTACAAAGTCAATTCAACTAACTAACCAAGACAGCAAATTTTCCTGCACATGAATTGTGGAAAATACACATAATGTTACTGCAAAAACTCTAATAGCTTGTCTTATTTCTAACCAAAGATATCTAAATACACTCATTATTAGCCATATTTATCTAACAAGCAAACATTATATTTCAAGATATTAAAAGCAAAAAAGTAGGCCTTAATTGTTGTAATTAATAAATGTACTTTGTAATTAAGATAAATACATCTCTTTTAACGACACTCAGCGAGTAAAATGTAATATTCCATTGGCAGATATTTTGCTTTAACAAACAATTTAGGCCTTGTTTTTTGCTTTTAATATATTGAAATAAAATGTTGGACTTGTCTTATAAATTAGGCTTATAATGAGTGTATTGAGACATGTTTACCTAGAAATTGATTAATGTATAAATACACTTACTAAGATATGAGTTTTTGTGTAAAACAAGCAAGATATAATGTGTTAAAAAAGAGTTGTTGATACACAGATTTTGATTCTTTTTGACAATCGTGGGCCTGCGTTTTCATGAGTAACTAATATCAAACACTAAGCTAGCAGCTTTGCGTAGCTTCATTTTTTAAAATAATCCAGTGTAAATGGAAGAAATGTACTCCATATCTCAAAAAGAAGTCAAAAAAGTAAACATGTAAAAAGATTCAAGGCATACTAACCTCCTCTATGTCCGAACAATGCACCAGAAACATGGACACATAGGTGATGATGGACTTCTCATCAGGTGAAGAGCACAACACATCTGCAGATAGAAAACTAGATTGTTTAATCTAAGAGTTTAAGAGTGCATTCAGAGGTAACCAAGGTGACAGCCCTTCTGTAAGAGGACTAGTTTAGGTGCCATGGGCAACTGAAAATATACCAAAAAGATTGTCAATGAAGTGATAAACTTGGCTGCTCATTTCTAGTGAGCTTTTGATATACACCTGTGGCTACATGATGGGTCGTATCATTACAGATTGACGGGTCTCCAGCAACTTCTTAGAGTAGGAGAAGTGGAAGAACTGTTTAAGCGATGGTGCAGATAAATATTGACCTTGAAAATGGATCAATATTATCCACTTTAGTATTCAGTAAGTGTTTACCTTCAAGCTCCAGCAGAGGTGGTATATCCAGACTGTAATGGGCTGTATTGAAAGCCAATTGAATGTTTTCTCTTGGCTCTCTAGTCAAACTCTCCCTCAGGTCAACCAAGGATGGGTTTACTGACTTAATCATAGCGAGGAACGCCAGCCCACTCCTCCAACTCTTCCCAAAATCAAGCACCTCCACCCCAAAACTGAAATTACACAATAGAAAAAAAAAGTCAGCTCACACAAAATTCACAAAACATTCTTGGTAAAAGATTCTCTTATTTCTACACTCACTTCAATGTGCAGTCTTGGTAAAAGATTCTCTTATTTCCACACTCACTTCAATGTGCATCCTTGGACCCACTGCAGGAGAGTCTTTAATGCTTTCCCATGATACTTTGGCTTTCTTGTGGCTCTTCTGCCTTTGCTTGGCGTTGGACTGCAGGAATGGCTGCTAAAGTCCCTCGGCTCAGGTGAGAGGTCACTGGAGGAAGGATGACTGTTCATCGATAAGGAAGAGAGGCTTGAAGACAAACGCCTCTGGAGGCCTCCTGTAACCTCCTTTACCTGTTTAAGAGTAGAAAAGCAGAGTGGTATGTAAGGTCGTTGACAAAGACAACCACCCAGGCAGGTGAAATAATCCATTACATTTTGGATTGATTAATGACATTGATTTAAACTAGACCTGCCTGGAAATGCAGGATAATGTTCCAGACGAGGTTAAGAACAACAGCAGGGACGCCATCAGCAATCCCAGAGGCATCTATGCCAAGCAGCTTCACCTGTAGGGAGGAGGGAGGAGACCTCATCTGAAGTATTGTTTTTCCAGATGTAAATGTAAAACATGACTGAACAATATTACTGTGTTCAATTAAAGCAAATAAACTCACATGTCTATCATCCAGGAAAGCCAAGGCCTTGGAAATGTTATTCAGTCTGAAAATGCGGTGAGAGGATGACCTATACCTGTAGAGCTTATCAGAAAAATTACAGTAATTAAGGGAAGTGTTCAACATTTGTGGAACCAACTCAATTTACGCTGATAAAAACACAGATGCCACGCTCATGTACGACAAATATGACGCTACAGACATTAAACTTGTTAGCTTTGTCCAGAAAACTGCCTATGGAACGGGGGAAACCTAGCTTAGCTCTGTCCAAACATTTTTTTTTTTAAACAGACTTATTTGATTCCTATCCTATCCTGCTGTCAGCCTCACTTGCCCTCTGAGTTCATAAAGTCGTCATGACAGAGTCTAATTGCCAAAGTAATAGCATATTTATCTTTTCCTTAACTGTTCAATAAATAGGCCTAATTGTAAACTCTTCCTTATTATTTTATACAACTTGTAAACCTGGATCACAACAGTACAACATTTTAACAGTTTTCCACGCCAACAATGTAAAAATGTAAAAATGGCAAATAGATGTTCACCATCTGCTTCTTTCTTTGCGCTAAGCCAAGCTCACTGGCCGCTAGATCATGTCTGCTTTACAAAACATGGGAGTGGTTTCAATGTTTCAGATTTATTTGTTTCATTTAAGGGATTCGATAGACTCACACATAGGCTAAAACATATTTAATCATATTTTCTACTTTTCTGTGAATACATTTTTCTATTATAAAGCATGACTCTTACTAGTTTGCATCCAGACAGCTCCTCCAGCAGAGCCATCAGTATCCTGCCATCCTGAATGTCTGTGAACAGGTCGTGCACTTCAACTGGAGGATCACACTGGAAATAAAAATAATTGTAAACAATATGACTGCATGTAAGCTTAATAATAGATTAATAAAGTATCAGTATAACTGCATTGTGTTATGACTTACTCTCTGCAGCAAAGCATTCATCCACCTGGTGAATGTTCTCCTCTGCACTGCTTTCCTGTCATCTGTTGGAAAAACAAAACAGGGACTTGGCAGAGAGGATAGTGTTGTGTTCCAGTTGACACGTAATATTTTGGCAAAGGCTGCTTGTGTGGCAAACAGGAGATTTTGTGTTGATTGTGATAAGGATAGAGTCTTCAAGAACATTGGAAATTAGTGTTGCACCACAAAAAGACTGCAGCAAAAAAAGACATTAGAGATAACCAAACACGTCTTTGAACCCCTTTATATCGATTATTTCACATGCATCACACATTCTTTCAGACACTTATCATCAGGCGAGACAATTGGGTATGATTGAGCAACAAAATGCAATAACGCAATAACGCTTACCTTGAAATGACATGGAGCGATTCAGGTAAAGGTGGTCTTTTTAGATAGTATTTAATTTTGTATGTGTGTCATGACACAATTTATCATTATCACAAAGAGGCTTAATCCTAACAATAAACCTAAAACAGATTTTCTTCTCATTTTTACCTTGAGGCTGCTGAACATGTTCATCGCTGAACTCCCCCATTGATTTCTCATGTGAATCCCCATCCGCTTTGTCCTGCATTCTCATTTCCAGTCAGTCACACTTCCTTTTTTTATGATCCATTGACGAGATTAAAACAGGAACAGAGAACAGTTTTGAATGTAAGGCACATGTAGCCATTGGAGGTGCTCATTGGTTTCCTCACAGACTACAAGTGAAGAAGTAGACGTAGGTGGTAGGCAGAGTGAGGCAGTGCGTCCTGCCTGAACATGCTTACACCTCCTTCCAAAATGTTGATCAACTCTATCATCCACTCCCCTGAGACAACTCAACCTGAACCCTTTCAGCAGTGTGTGGTTCATAAAACTTTTCTTTGGAAGCATTAAGTCGTCCACTGTTAGAAAAAATCAGCCGGTGTAACTCTTTTGAGTGTCTGTTTTTTTGTCCCTACACAGATGTCTGCAATAAATCTTTCTCGTATGGCAGAGTGCTTCACTGACAGAGAGACATGTTAGCTCAGAGTCACAGGGAGGGAGTGAGTAGTCGGCAGGAATGAGCAGATGTGGCCAAAGTTTGCTTTTTTCTCTGAGCTTATTTTTATTACTCTGGCCCATATAACCCTGATCACCAACAGCTAATGTCATCATCATAGAGCTCTTGTCTCTCCCTCTCTCGTGCATTCACATCATATCTCTGCACGTCACTGTCTGTAAATGTTCTTATATTATGCATGTTAATAACCGCATATCTTCCTGGGAGTGCCTGAGCTCTCTGGTGATATGGACCCCCCCCCTCCAGACTCCAACCGCTACATCTATAATATCAGCCTTACATCTATTATCATTATTCTATATATTAAAGTGAATCTTAGAGCTGCTCAACTTCAACCTCTATAATAATCAACATAATCAGATGTCCCTGTTTCATCATCATTACAGCTGCTAATGTTAGCAAAAGTCTGTTTTAACACTTACAGTAGCTGTTGCTGCTTCTACTATTCATACTTTTAGCATTATGACTGACAATGTAGCTATAAATCTATCTTATTTATTGTTGCTCTGTTTGTCTCTGTCCTTCTCCTTCTTTCTCCATCTCCCTCCAGCCCACTTTCCAGGAGGTTTGTGCTTCTTAAAGGACATTTTTCCTTTCCACTTTAACTTGACTAAATGTTGCTTAGTGCTCATGGTGGACTGATGTTTTGTAAAGTGTCTCAAAAATTGGTGATTCTGATTCTGAATTGGCGCTATACAAATACATTGTGATTTGTGAAAGTGCAAAGAATTAAGTTTTTAAAAGATTGGCTCCCTGGAGACCACAAAAGTAAACCACCGTAACAAACAACCATCACAGCAAAATCTTATATTTTCTACTTCTTTCTGGAGGGTTTGTTTTAAAAATATCAAAATATTAAACACTTGATATGTGACTTTCATTAATTCTGGTGTATGGTGGTGGTATTGTGTTGTATAGTGATGTTTTTTGCTAGGAGAGCGTATACAGTCCTGAGCCTCTGATGAGCTGATTAAACATACAGAGACATGCTTTGATTTATAATTTGTAGTCTTTGTTATTGTGACAATGTATGACGAGTTATAAAATACTCTGATGTCTCTATGGGACACTCAAATGCAAACAGACTATTAGCAACAACATTGCTTATTTCCAGATAGTTATTTTTAATACCCATAACGGCTGCGGTCAGGTAGGTGACAAACAAATGCAGTTACAGCACACCGGAAACACTTTGACATCACTTGTACTGCTTTCACACATATGCAGAACTCCTGAAAACTGTGGGGTGAGCTGCCACGGGAAGTTGAGATAATAGGACAAAGGAGCAGGAAATATTCAAGAAAATTAACTACAAGGGAGCAGGAGGGGGTTGATTTTAAATATCCAACAACAGGCACATGATTTAGATTTAAAGAAGTGTCATCATATTGTCAGACTATGTGGCTCAGTCGTGTTTTCCTTCAACAACATTTGATCTGCTATCAGCTCTGTCGTGCGTCAACTTTATTTCCATGAGTGTGAAGAACCTACAAAACAAAACTTGAAATTGAAGTTTCTGAAAAACGCACTTTATTTATGCATGTAAAGAAAATGTGAAGACATTGTGACAGCTGAAAGTGTCTGACAGGAATCTCTCCTGTGACAAACAATATCTCGCTGTCGAGTACTTTTCTCTACCTGCCTCAAGAAAGGTGAAAGACACAGGAAGAGCCCATCACCTCCGTGGAAAGCAGGACTGTGTCCAAGGAACATCGCACGTGAAACTCCTGAAACCTCTAGAAGTCACGCCTTTTCATTCTTTGACATACTTTCTGCATCCTTGTTGAGCTCACGAGCAATAATGGTTGCAAGGAGCAACTTCACAAGGCTGCAAAGTCGAGAACATCATTCAGTCATACTTACACGCACTCTTCAACACATTACATCGTAAAACTAACATCATGATTTACTCATGTCATATATGTGAATTAACTTCAAAACACCCCAAGTGTACATGGTTTAATCAAAACATTGTTTTTATTATGTTTTCATTCAAAACATAGAGAATATTCCAGTAAAACGAAGCGGATTCCCAAACAATATCACAATTTGAAATCATTGAGAAGCATGTGGAAAAAATCTGAAAACACTGACAAACTCAAACAGCACTTGAAGACAACAGCAGACCTGGAAACCACAAACATCAATCAGACAAGCTGTAAGAAAAATAGGTGTCTCAACATGTTTGTCTCTTTTACAAGCTGGAGTCTGACTTCTCTTGTATGCTTAACATTGTCCAGTGAAGATAGTTTCTCTGCCTATTCAACTCGGCACTTCTGTTTCAGTTCTTCTACAGAAGGCTAATTGTCTGGTACTGGGCTCTTCAACTGGTTCATAATATGTTGGTCTCCTCTGGTTGTTCAGGTTGCAGTATGGTTTTATAATAATCCACCCACAATGTAAAGAGGAGCATTAATTGCAGTGTCCTGTCTTGTCAGAGGGTGTCCATCACCCTGCAGAGGACAGAGGGTGTCCATCACCCTGCAGAGGACAGAGGGTGTCCATCACCCTGCAGAGGACAGAGGGTGTCATTTCCTCCCCATGATGAAGCTAGGAGCCTCGGCATCATCTTCGGCCTCTTCTCCTCATCATCATCGTCCTCCTCTTCTTCGCTGCTCTCCGAGCTTTTGTTGCCGTCGTCATCTTTCTTGTTTTTGGCCTCCAGCTTTGCTTTCTTTGCCATCATCTTCTTCTGCTTCAGCTTGTCCCGCTTCTTCCTGCGCTTTGCTGTCCTCTCCTCGGCTGCCTGTTTGTTTAGCTCCACCTTATCCAGGTAGTCCACGTCCTCGTTCACCTTCTCTGACATCTTGTCTAGGAAGTCCTGCCTCTGGTATTCTCTGCGGCGGAGGTGTCGATAAACGTGAAACTCTCCGCTGCCCGCCCCGGCGCTGGAGCCCATCACGTCTCGGACGAACTCCGGCGGGGCCCGCGGGTTCCACTCTTTAGGCCGGTCCGGGATGGGAGCCAGCTTGTCCGGGTTCCGCATCAACCTCTCCAGCCTCAGACGCTGCTCCTCCGCCGGAGTTTTGGCGATTATCAGAGGCTGAGCCTCTTTACCTCCGCTTTTCTTCGGCTTGTTGTTCTTCTGTTCGTGCGCCGCCATCTTTCAAACTTTCGCTGGTGGTCCTTTTCCGGTTTGCGCAGGTCGCACCGGAAGTACTTGAGGGCTTTTGTAACCGGGGATTAATATTTTTATTTTGTATTTAACTTTCTTGTGGCTGCTTTTCCCAAATTCATTAACAAATGCGACAGTGACATTTTCGCGACAGTATATTTTTATTTTATGAAGTTGTGCCTTTGTTCTTTATCGACTGTTGTGATTGACGTGTAGCTGGACCAATAGCATTCAGATTAGAGTTTTCGGGATCCAATCACCCTTCAAGTTCCGCCTCTCCTCCGCGAACGTGAAGTGTGTTGACGCACTACATTTATTCCGCCTCGTACAGGACCGGCTGGTCACTTTCTACCACATTTCTCCTCCTCGTTCAACGGTAACACATACCAAAGACTATGAATAGTTTAATTAAAATCACTGCGAGGTGTCTGCGGTCAGGGGCACCAGCCTATCTGCCAAGACCAGCCGACGGACGCGCTTGGTCGGCCCCGGCCCGGTTCCTGTGCGCGGACGTGAAGAAAGACCTTGGTGAGATGGTGAAGAAGGACAAAGTGGTCGTGTTTATGAAGGGGACACCGGCTCAACCCATGTGTGGCTTCAGTAATGCAGTTGTTCAGATCCTGAGGATGCATGGGGTAGACGAGTATGCTGCGTACAACGTGCTGGAGGACCAGGACCTCAGACAAGGTCAGTAAACTCAGGTGAACCATTCAGGACATGACAGCAACAAGTTGTCACCTGAAAGTCTTTTTTCATTCTTCAAAATGGACAGTGAACGTGTCACCATACAGTTTGCTTGTAACCTGTACGGTATGTAAATATTATCCCCTTGTATCTGTCTGGTTTTTTACACAACTTTTCTTTCTGTGGTATATCAGACTTCTGACAACGACCATCTCAACTACTTCTACTGTTCTCTTATTATCAGTGCTCTGCAGCAGGACCACAGGGTGTGGCTCTTGAGTAAAACATGACACCGTCAGTATGATTATGTCTAACATTTACTGCTACTGAAGCTACTGAAGTCTCCTGTGTTTTTGAATGGTGGCAGGCAGCACATAAGGAACAAGGATGTTGTCGCTTGAGGCCAGAAACAGCAGATTTATGCCAAGTCATGGCATGTTGAATAACAGCAACACACAGTTTCAACCACAAAAACACCCAAACTCATACAGAACACATTAATAATAAGACAATCAACAGATTCAACATTTGCACACAGAAAGTTTGGATTCAAGACTTCTCACTAAGGATTTACATTCAGAGTAACTTTATTTTACAAGGAATGATCCTTTATCCTGTTTGGAAATCTGTCAAGCCAACTAATAGCTCTAGTTTAAGTTGACTTTAGAACACACTAAAAGCACTTTGACCAAAGAGGAGCGAGTTCAGGGAACGACATACACACACACATTTTGGCAAACCAACAAGTGCAGGGAAAAATCCCTTTTAATCTAATGAGTTCTGTCCAAATACCTTGTAGATAAACAATCTTACCTCATAGCAAGAACAGCGGCTGCAAACAGAGCTTTCTGGTGTCAGTGTTAAATGTAATGTGTTGAATCTAGCAGTAGTAAAACACATCAGAGGATTCATGTACATGTGCTGCTGTAGAGTCGACTTCTCACTACAGCTGTTGTAACTTGTTAAAAGGAACTCGAGTTTAACAAATTCATCTGAAGTACAATCAGTAGTTTGCTCCTTCAACATCATTTGATTATAAACACAAGGTCTCTCAGCACATTTTCAGTGAAGGGCTTTAAAAGGGAACGCGCTACTTTGGCCATTTACCTCGAACATACTGTTAACTTTTTAAAATGTCGTCTTACACTAAATTGTTAGGGAACATTAGAAAACAATCCGTTCTTCTCCAGTGTAACACTGAGGTGTACAAACACATTTGTTGTTTCAATACATATTAAATTGGTACATGTGGTGTTTATAAATCGTACTTATACAGTATGAGTTCACTCGGTAACTAAACAGTTGGTGATAATATGAGCTCTGTCTCTTTTTGGGTTTCAGTTGCTGAAGAATGAGTCACTGTGCTAACCTCGGCTCATGCTAACTCCTTATTTCCTCTGTTTACATCATACTAAGTACTGTTACTGAGGGGGGAAACTCTGAGGCATCATCATTTCATGGGTAAAAAAAGATAATTTCACTTCCTTATAACAGAGATTAACATTGATAAGTACTGGGGATATCCATATTTAAGACATTTAATAGATATCATACCATAAACATGTCACTTCTGGTCTGGAGCATCAAATTGTACCATGTTGGGGTTATCTAGCACTTGAATCCTACATAACTTGGACACAGAAGTGTTTGTGTGGTATAAACCCCTGAAATGATATATTCTAATAAGAGCCCAACAGACTAATCGGCTAGCCGATATTAGCATATCCAGTGACTATTGGTATCGACTCATTTTATCTCAGATATGCGCAGATAATGCTAGATTTAATAAACAGTCAAATAGTATTTTATTTGAGTGTCATAGTATTACACTAGTAGTTCTGTTTCTGACTGTCACCAGCAGAGGGCGCTATATGGATTACAACGAGCATCATCACTCTCCAGAGAGTTGAGATGTACGTACATGCCCAGTTACTTTCCAGTTGAGTGACCATCTTGTCTTCGTTATACTGTATATCTTTTCCACAATAAATAATAATAAAAAAGTATGTTAACTGCATTTGAGGGATCAACACAATAGATGTGTGTATATTTAACTATCTCTACAGATAGAACATAGATCCAAGAAAGATCGGTATAACGTTTTCTTCTCTGCCCAATATCGATATCGCCCCCCAAATATTCCATATCTGTCGGGCCCTATTTCAATTCCTTTTGTTGTCTTTGCAACTGACAGTAATTGTACGGAACATGTGATATTGTCTACAGTGAAACTTTGACTTTAATGGAGCTGAATAGATTAGAATAGAATTACTTGATCCCAAACTGGGAAATTGTGGCGTTACAGCAGCAGGTTGTCCAAACACACAATATGAGTAAAAAACACTAAAAAAAAAACTAAGAATGGGAATATATACAACCAGGATTTAACTTAGCATTACTAGTCTTAAATATGAAGATTAAATACAACATACATTTCTGGAGATAGATGTAAATGTATTAATATTCAGTGAGGATCTCTTGCTGTTGCAGCCTTTGTTTGTACTCCTCTTGTGATCTTCTAAACCTGACACCTGATCCGTTAATGTTTTGAGTATATTTATGACTCTGACATGAATGCCACTTGCCTTCCACAGGAGTCAAGGACTTCTCAAACTGGCCCACGATCCCTCAGGTTTACTTCAACGGAGAGTTTGTGGGCGGCTGTGACATCCTGCTCCAGATGCACCAGAATGGAGACCTGGTGGACGAGTTACAGAAGCTGGGCATCAGCTCTGCACTGCTTAACGCTGAGAAAGAATCTAAGTAGAGGAAGAGGATAAACTCCAAACCACTGACGAGACAGAGGACACACATGTATCAGGTTAAATCCCCCTCCCCACTCAGATGATCGCAGAAAAATCAACTCACAAGGCAGTCATGGACAAAACGGACTCACCTCCTCCGGCAAATACGGCACAGCAAGAGTGCAGATGAAATTACAAGGAGCAGCAACTGCATCACGAGTCGTGAACATCCACGCATCATCATGTTTCATACATCATAACAACACGGAGTGCTTTACAGAGCTCGAGCTGCACTGCTTTACTTCGCAGCATATGCACCTGGCCAGCAAGGACTTGAATCTAGAGGGAAATAATGTGTCTGCACAGAGATCCAAAATCATTTTTACCTGACTCATATCAAGATTTCACGTCTTCTTTGTAAATCTTAAGCAATATTATTTTGCTATTTGGGGGTCACACTTCCAAGTTGCTAAAAACAGCACTGACATACCTTTTAAGTTGATATCACTAAGTTGTCTATTCCTAACAACATTCACATTTATTAAAAATATTCTGCTTCAGTAATGTCAGCCTCCACTTGCTGCTAGTTGCTATCTGTGCTGTCTTCCACTTGGCGCTTTGCTGGTAGTCTACACTGTTTATCATCTTCCTTCAGCTGCAAAAAAAAAAAAAGAGACATAAAACAGTCAAGCTTTGGACCAGCTTGGTGACATTTCCCTTCTTTCACATCACAGTCAAAGTCATTATGATCCATTTCAAACAAAACCTTTTCAATGAACACACAGAGGGCTCTTTGATTTTTACACTCCTCCCCCAGCATTTTAAAGGGTTTTCATATTTTTCCACTTTACACCCCTCATCTCATACCTGCACACTCTAATCACCATAGTTACAGGAGATCAGTTTGAAAACCTTACCAGCAGGCTTTAAGTGGTGAATTCAGCGATGATGATCCAACTCTATCTGCACTGTTAGTGAACTCATTAACAATGAAGGTTGAACTTCTACTGCCAAAGAGAGACTTAAAGGTTCCCTCTCTGGGTTTTGATTAGGTAACACGAGCGTTTCCAGCCTTTATCATCTTTCCCTCCTAACAGTCCTGCTACATCTCCTGGTCACCTTTCTCTGTGTGTGTGTGTGTGTGTGTGTGTGTGTGTGTGTGTGTGTGTGTGTGTGTGTGTGTGTGTGTGTGTGTGTGTGTGTGTGTGTGTGTGTGTGTGTGTGTGTGTGTGTGTGTGTGTGTGTGTGTGTGTGTGTGTGTGTGTGTGTGTGTGTGTGTGTGTGTGTGTGTGTGTGTGTGTGTGTGTGTGTGTGTGTGTGTGTGTGTGTGTGTGTGTGTGTGTGTGTGTGTGTGTGTGTGTGTGTGTGTGTGTGTGTGTGTGTGTGTGTGTGTGTGTGTGTGTGTGTGTGTGTGTGTGTGTGTGTGTGTGTGTGTGTTAGACCAACTGAGCCTCAGGGTGTGAAAATGTGTCATCATACTCCAAACAGAAATGCACTGCCTGTGACTTCAGTACACAAAAAAGAGGGGGCAATACTGCTGTTCACACATTAAAGACCTGTTCAACAAAGAGTTTTAACAGTGGAGGGATCTACAGACACGGGGGTCTGTTCTCAGTCATCCAGGTCAGGGTAGATTTGAAGCTTGATCCAAAGCCAACTGGACTTAGTGGAAGCTATTGGTTTAAAGATTTTCAACCTAGTCCAGTTGCCTTTGGAACAAGCTTCGAATTGACAGAGACGGGCCGACCTCATTACACACATACACATCAGTATGACTTTGATGGAACCAACATCAGTGTCCCTTATTTTCATTTCCCTGTTTTGAACAACATACAAAATGTGTCCTCGTGTTTCTAACGTCTACACTCGCTGAAACGCAACAAACTCACCTTGTTACCTTTCTCTCTCTCTCTCTCACTTGATGACTGATTTTGCAGCAAATCTGGACAAACAAGAGACAAGCATTTATATTTGAAGTTTGTTGCGTCAGTGTAAGTCTGTGGTTTTTTGTTGAATTGTCTGTTTTTGTAGGGGTCGGGGAGTGTTTTTTTTGTGTTTGAAGTTCTCAACGAGCCTCAGAGACTTTGACATCTTTGAATCCTAGATTTTCCTCCTGCTGCACACAGTTGTATTATGAAAGCGATGGTCATGTAGTACACTGTAAAGTATTGTACATTGAAAGCATATTATTAGCCACATGTAAACCCTGCACCAATTAAATATTTTGTGACACAAATAGCGAGTGCCCTGAATGTTCCTTTTTCTTCGTTTGTTATGGCACTCAACATGAGAGTTTCTTCTTCAGATGTTTTAACTGACTACTGATCTCAGCCAACAGTACAAAGTTTCAACTACCAAGGTGCATGGAGAGTGAAAGGCTGCAGCAACACTAGTGGTATTAAGATTTACTTTTTTATTGATCCCCGCAAGGGGAAATTTCAGTTTTTACACTCTGTAGTCATGCAACACACACAGGATCCTATGGACATGCACTAAGGGAGAGATGTCAGAGTGACGGGGTGGCCCACAGTGGGCGCTACTGAGCTGGTGGTGGGGAGGGGGTTTGGTGCCTTGCTCGAGGTGATCTGGCACCTCTCCAGCTACCAGACCAACTTCCACATTTGGTCTACACTGGGACTTGAACCGGCGACCCTCCGGTTCATCGGGGGTCTTCATCGGGGTCATCCATGAGAGATGAGCCTGATGAAGGCCACAAGCTGAAACGTGTAGACATGTAAACATGGAGACCACTGTTTTGGATTCTTTGCTGCATATAATTCTACCTCACAGTGAAGCAGAGATCTCCAGTACAAGGACCCACAATCTTAAATGGAATGAAGCCATCATCATCATTAACACTCATTCTTTACAAATGTAACAATCGATCTCGTAGTCTTTTTGTGCTTGTTTCTGTTCCTCAAATGAACTTCTGGTACCAAGTTCTAAGCACCCAACCTGTTTCTATTTTCAGGCTCCTGGTTCATCAGATTATTGTAAACCTGCTGCAACAGATTCAGTCATAGAGCTGCTCACCAAATGTCATGAAATCAGGATTCAATGTATGCAGGGATCCAATTTTTGACACAAGATAGACATTCTGTTTTAACCAGTTACCAGTAACAATTGTCTGAGATGAGCGAGAGCAGCTTTCAGTAAAGTTTTCACATTTATCTGATTGTTGAGGTTTTCTTTCATAAGAAGTAGCAGTGAAGAGAGACTTGCAAAGTGGATGAAATCTTTTAATACAAAATATTTTACAACAGTAACACTACTGTAAATGTTTCACAATGTTAGATACAACTGAGTTGTGGACAGTCCAGTAGTCATCGTTCCTCACGTCCTCTGTCTCTAACATCGTCTGGCAGTTCAATAAACAGATATTTAAAAAAAAAAAAAAAAAAACTAACAATGAGGTATGACGGGGATTCAGGTCAGAGTTTCTGCAGGAAGCGGAGCACCAAGTCTCGCAGTGTTGTGCGCAGCGGCTCGTTGTTGTCACAGACGATGTGTGTCCCGTCCTCCTCAAGCTGAATCAGCGTGTCCTCCGCCTGAAGGTGAAGAATGTGTCCGTCTGCTGTCTCCTCCACCTTAACTTCTGTAATACCATGCTGCGCAGGGGAGAGGGAAGTATGCAAAGTACAGTTTTTATGAAGTTGTTTTTCCCTTTGTGTCATTCATTCATGGCTTCATGGAAACAGAAATGCAAAAGCAGTGTCCATCTACGTTTAGGTAGGTGTGTTTTTTAAACTAAACTCATTTTATATTTATTGCTGGGGCATGCTTACAGTAGGCAGTATGCAATACGAGTGCACCCTTAGTTCTGTTGTATTCTTTTCATCTATTGAGTTACATTCCTTGGCTTCTGAAACAATAAACTACAAATCCTGTCAGCGTTATGCATGAGGAGACTGTAATATCAGAGCTGATGAGATTAAGTCACAAAAGCTGCAGTAAATATGGGGGGTGGGCAAAGTAAAAACAAATCTATTTTAAGTGCTGAATACTGCTACAAACAGGTGTCTGCAGGTTTAATACCTTTTGCAATGTGGAGAGGAAAGCATCCAGCGGCACAGCTCCACTCAGCAGAGGTTTCGGGGCCAGAACAACGGGAGGCTCTTCGATGACCCGCTTCCTCTTCTTGCTCGGGGCCACTGGAGGGGGTTTGGGCACCGACTGGAAACACAGAGAGAAACTTTCATTTTTTCCATTAACAATGGAATCAAAACTTCCCATCTTTATATATTAATGCTCACATGTCATATGAACATGTGTGACGGACACACACTCACCTGCAGTGTGTGTTTGTTGTCTTTGGAGTGCAGCACGGCAGACACAGTTGCCAGGGAGATGCCAGGTTTAATCTCAGAGGGCACCAGGGAGTTGGCCAGCTTGAAAGAGAAAAATCTGACGTTTAGACTTGAAAATGTGCCACCTGTTCTCCGGCAGCAGTTTAAATATCTCCGTAATGCATCTCATTCTTTCATTCTCACAGCTTTCTGCATGCAATTTGTCATCGTCTCTACCAACACAGGAGAGAATTCAAAGAATGCACTCAGCACCTGTTTCAAAAAGTACTGATTTGATCTTTTATTCCACACTTGTCATCTGAGTCTATTGGGTCCTTATTTACCAGACAAGTTGAAGGGGAACATATTCACTTCCCAGACTTCTAGCTGCCATAGGTCCTGCTCTTGTGTGAACTCACCTCAGGCAGTATGTAGACACGTTCATAGCGGCGTCTGAAAGGCAGGTTGAGCACAGAGCAGCGTCTGTAGGGCATCGGAGGAGGCTGCAGCTCCAGCATCAGATCTGAGCGGTGGGACTGGGTCAGTGGGGGCTGAGTGTACTGCTCTGGACACACCACATGGAGGGGCTGCGGGGGAGGGAAAGACAGGACATGGTTTAACTCTAGATGTGGACACAGTGATTTGACATACATTACTTTGATTTGGATAAAATTGTCCAAAACTGACGACACCATAAGAGCTCTGGGTATAACGCTCTCGTAATATGAGAATCAATATGGCCAATCTAACGCCTCAGAGAGTCTAACAAAGATTACAGAGAGTCTAAGAGTGCGGTAAAACTGGCAATGTTGTCCTGTACCGTGCTTAAGCAGCAGTTTATTAATATTCATTATGTCCTGTGTGCCCACTATTTGCAAAGCAGACATTTGGTTGATTGAGAAATGATCTCCTGATTACATAACACAAGTATTTGAGGTTCTACTGAACTGAAACAAACCATCAATATGTCTCTGTAGCATTTCAGTTCTTGTTGTTTATTCCCTCCTGCTCTGATTTGAACACTGATAAGACCATTTTTTCATTTTCTTTTCCAGATTGTAACATTATTTTCACTCAGGACTGGTGCTGACTAAACTTTTATTTGCTTGTTCCACAACCACTCTTCATGCAAAGTTGCATGTTTACTAAATGGCTTCTTGGGACAGCCGTTTCGGAGCCAGATATTTATCTATTTGCCGTTTGTTGTCTTATATCAAAAACCTCCTCTATAAACTCATTCTTTTTCATATAAGTTCAGTACATTTCTAATCTCTATAAAAGGGACAACTACATGAAGTACAAGTGTCATGACAATGGAGTGTGGGCGCTACCTGGACTTCTTTGAGCAGCTTTGAGACTTGGTGGAAGTTGAGCCGCGTGTCAATG